TGTCTGCTTATAATTCTTGTTTCTCTTTTATTTATTTTTTATTTTTTTAAAATTCTTTATTTTTGTTGCTCATGGGTTTAGACAAAGGCATTCTTGCAGTGCCACAGCAGCTTCAACAAGCGATTCAACATGAGATATTTAACAAGTACATGGCATATGGAAATTCTGCAAATTTTTATAGTAAAAGTTAAAACTGGCTAAGGAAACACAGCTAGACACAAGTTAGATAGAGTAAAGTGTACAAGGCTAATATGCATGAGTGATATACCACCCCTGAAGGCCCTAGAGGTAAATGTCCAAAATCAGGTGCATGAAGCTAATGGAGGAGTACCATGATGCTTTCTGGCTGAGTGTGATGAATATATGAGAAGAACGTTCGTGTAGCTGTTCAGCCGATGCCCTCCATAGGCAGGATGCTGATCCAGGAGATGGGGTGAGTCGTCAAGCTTAGAGGCTGAGCTGTTTTCAATACGGTGCCCATGTAATAGTTTACCTCCTCCTGCTTCTGCTGCACTCTTCTCACTGCTGTTTCCCGCTTATGTCTCGCACTGCTGGTAATGAAATTGCTTAGCTCCGATGCAGGCCTGTTCACCACGTTCCTCAGAAGCTGCCTACGCAGTCTTGTCTGCCTCTTGTGGTTTCTCCCAGCGCCCAGCACCACAGATTGAGTCCGAAGCCGTCGGGGAGGACTCTCGGGTAAGTGTTCTTGTGATGTTTGCAGGGCAGGCTTATGTAGCTGGAGAGACAGTTTTCTCCAGAAGTGCTGGAAGGTTTTATTTAGCTTGGACAGCACTCTGTCAACGTTGAGCGAAGGGAATGTGGCATCCGCCATTTTAGGTATGCCATAAGTTAGGTACTCACTGTTTTCAGCAGTTCCACACTTCCCAGCTGGGGTAAGGGAGCCTCCACGGTGGGGACCCCACCGGTCCATGGAGGGTGGGGTGGGGGGTAGCAGGGCTCCATCAGGATCTATTGCCAGGGACCAACCCGAGCTGAGTCGGGAGATCGGCCACTTCTCCCTTCAGCAGCGTCTAGTAGACCTTACTCCAGTCTGCAGAGGACTCCGTCCGGAAGGCTGCCAATGACCGCCGGGAGCACCCCCAGGTCGGTCAGTCAATGTTGTACACACAAGCTATACAGCCAGACCCAGATGGAAAACCCAGATGGAGAACTATACAGCCAGACCCAGATGGGATGTACATAAATGGCCTAGAGTATATGTTTTACTCGGAGCTTCATGAAAATGCGTCTAGCCGCAATCACAGTCAGGCCCGCCCACCTTGTTTCTCTTTTATAACAGAGGAAACCTCTCAGGGTACCCTGAATGTAAGGGAACTATTTCAACTGCATTTCATTATGTAGTAATAATATAGTAACAGATTTATATTCAATCTTGTTTTGAGTGTGAGTATCTGGTCATGACTGCCTGCTGTTTTAACAGAGAAGACTATATTAAAGAAAAAAATAACCAAGTTCATTGCGCTGTGCTTAGTTCTTGCATGGAATAAAAATAAAATAAAAAGTAAAATACCAAATAAAATTACCACCTGCCTGGGGCTCTTGCTAACCTGGACCAAGACTTCTTGACAGTTACTAAAACCCCATTTCATAAGCTCTTAACACTAACTAAGGAAATGCAAGACCTATCGAGCAGTGACTAATGACAATGTAACAGTAATTGAAAAAGCATGTTATAGACTGTTAGTCTTGCAATTACAGGCAATCAAATTGTATTCAGAAAGAAACATCAGAGACACTCAGGGCACAGGTGTGAAGTGATCGCTCCCACAAAAATAAAAGACTAAACGATCACTGCATACAGGCTGTAAACATTACTTCATGTTTATATGAACTCAGCGCGATGACGCATCACAGGTAAACTTTGAATACACATCATATTTACTGAAAGATATGGGTGAAGCCTATTTTAAGTATCAAACGGAAATTTGTTTTGTCTCGATTATTAAATGTCTCGTCGACCTATCAGAAGGTTGGACTACTTAAATGTTTTATAACTGATAATAATTTTGTTTGTTGCGTACTATATATTGCTCAGGAGTCTGACAGTCAACGTATTCATATAAAAATGGGTTAAGTATTGCTTCACACTTGAGGAAGAGAAGACAAATTTCATTAGCTTTTCTTTTAAATATTGTGTTGGTCCAATAAAAAAGAAACATTGCAGACCTTAATATTCTAGTAATATCACCATCTCATCTACTGGACTAATACGGCTAATTCAATCTATGGGAAAATATGATTTTTATCAGAAGTGCAAACAAAAGAAAGAAAGCTACCTAGGATAAAATGTTGACAGCATTAATTAGATTTATGAGTAGATAAAATGCACCTTGCAGCGTAGCTCTGATTTAAAGCCATCCTTTTAACCATGGCTGGGTTTAGATCTCAAATATATTTAAGCACAGAATTCTAGAGGGGAGCCCCTATCCCACACCTGCAAATTCTAAAGTGCTTGATCCCGTGTTAGTCGACCCTTGCTTAGACCTTACTACTTTATTATACTACTGTTTGACTGCCATAGCACTATAATGGGTCCATGTTGCAGGAAAGATTGCAAACAAAATAGGAGGTAAAGGGCATGCTTTCCATTAGCAATGAGATAACACTTTTAACCTTTCAGTTAATCAATCAGACTAAAATAAAGATATAGGGGAAAACATATTTATTTGGCAAACAGGTGACTACTCTGCCTACTGATAAATAGAGCCCTGCTTTTTACAGAATGTTTTAATAATTGCTATTTTAAATAGGACATGTGGTCTTCTCCTTTGGATGATTTTCAATGGAAACCTGAGAGCCACATGATTTTGCCAATTACACCTGCCTTTCTCTCGATCGCTGTTTTACTAAATTTAGAGGCCATACTCACACATTGGTGTATGGAGGAGGCAGTTCACAACATATCAGCTAAATATAAGCATAGACTGGGGACACCTGACTCTGCTGTTCCGACACCAGTTGCAACCTTATCAAGGATTAATATGCTTGGCAGAGATTCATTGTCCAGAAAAAGTCTCCCAACAGACACAAGCAAAGACGTCTTTGTTCCGGTTATATCTGTAGGAAAACGTCTTTTCATTAAGAACTATGCCCTCCTTTGTGTGAGAATGGTTCAGATATATAGCCTTTTTTAATTTGCCAGAAGGCTTTTTAATAAATAGAATCATATATTCAAATATAGTTCCTTTTTTATTGTCTCCAGTAAAAGTATAAAGGTGTAAGATAACCAGGGCCCAGGAGGAAGAATTTCACAAGTAAGTGGATTAATCTCATAAGAGCAGGCATTAAGTTGCTGAGATAGAACCTGCCAAGAATGGGGTACATTGACGTTGTGGCAGGCTTATACAATATAGGATTATATAATGTATTATATGTTTTATTGTATATAAATATATCATATTGTTTGCCTAATTTAGGGTTTAAAAAAAAAAAAAAAAGAACTGTTACATTCTGTGAGAGTTGAGGTCAGGGCTCTGTGCGAGCCAGTCACATTGTTTCACACCAAACTCATCCAACCATGTATTTATGGACCTTGCTTTGTGCACTGGGGCACAGTCACGCTGGAATAGAAACGGGCCTTCCTAAACTGTTTTCACAAACTTGGAAGCATTGCATTGTCCAAAATGTCTTGGTATGTTGAAGCTTTAAAATTTCCCTTCAGTGAACGTAAAGGGTATAGCCCAACCTCTGAAAAACCCCATACCATTATCCCTCCTCCACCAAACGTTACAGTTAGTACAATGCAGTCAGGTAACGTTCTCCTGGCATCCCCCAAACCCAGACACGCCATTCAGACTGCCAAACAGTGAAGCGTAATTTGTCACGTGGCGATGTTCTACACACCACTCTTTGTACTTGTACTTGGTGACATGAGGCTTCCAAGCAGCTGTTCAGCCATGGAGATCCATTTCATGAAGCTCCTTCCACACAGTTTGTGTGCTGATACTAATGCCAGTGGAAGTTTGGAAATATTCTGCTATGGATTCAGCAGAGCGTTGAGGACTTTTACGCACCATGCGCCATAGCACTTGGAGACCCCTGTACTGTGACTTTACAGCAGAGTTGCTTCTTTTGGTAAACACTTCCACTTGCAGTTAACCATTGAATATCTAGCAGGGATAACATTTCACAAACTGAATTATTGCAAAGGTGTCATCCTATCACACTACCACGCTTGAATTCACTGAACTCTTCAGAACAACATATTTTGTTCACAAATGTTTGTAAATGTATCTGCATGGCCAGGTGCCTGATTTTATACAATGGGTGTGATTGAAACACCAAATAAGGTGCAAAGTCTAATGAAATGTATTGTGTCTGCCTTATGGTTTTTCACTACTGTTGGTATGACTAGGGTTGTGACATTTGAATAGATGTTCCCCTTTGTTCCCCTTTTTCACTATAGCCTTTATATAATAAATGTATCATTTTGCTTCCAATTTTATTTTTTTTCTAAGCCAAATGGTAGTTAGGCCGAGGAATTGATGGCCTTCAATTGAATTGCTTTCAGTGAAAGTCATATTAAAATATTTTTTGCGAATGTCTGTAGCAAACCCACCAGAACTTTAGTGACAAGTTATCTTGGTAATTTCTGGATTTGCACAAAAGAAAATGTAAACTCTGTGCTAAAGGGAAATCGAACCTCTAGGAATTTTAGGAAAAATACAAAAAGAACTTGTTGACTTAGTTATACAAAGAATCAGCTCTCTGTAGTTCTGTAAAAAAAAACAACATACCGGTAATACTAAAATATAGCAACTGATTAATTATATAAATAAAATATTTCACATTATTCATAATAATACTAAAGTACATGTCTATAAATTAAATTGTTGTGTTTTGTATGTTATGCTTTAAGAAAGAATAGTTGTTTCAAAGTTTGTTGCTGTCCGTTATTGACAAGCTTGTAATTTTTAAAATGGCTGTCGGTGAAAAGAAAAAGGGAGAACTGTCAGGAATTTAAAGTGAATGCTATGCGGTGAGTTCTGGGCTAGAGGAGTCCTCTGTGCCAAATTGCTGCAGCCCTTTAAGTGCCACAGAATTGCTGAAAACCATTTCTGCCAATGGTGATGTGGGGGCAGAGATAGAGCTGTGAGGCGTGTTTATACCCTGGGATTCTATGATACTTTTCATGTCCCTTCGTTCATATTTTACACAAAAACAAATCTGTATTTTGCTGACAATCATTTCTGTATTCACAGATTATTTAAATAGGAGAACATTTAAGTGGCACTGTCACCATCTGGGGAATTCGCAAAAAAACCCCGACGGTGACATTGCTGCTGTAGGTCCGATGTCCAAGGGGGCAGGTAAAGGTGAAATTGACTTAACTGATCTAATCCCTTATGGGCTACGTCATCTTCCTGCTCCTCTTCAACTTCTGGCGCTGTAGCGCCATGAGCCAATGTTACAGCTGCACTCTTGTGCATGCACGAGAGTACAGAATTAAGATTTATAGAAGATCCCACAGGATCCTCCATAGACAGAGCCAATACCCTGCAGTGGTCACCAGTGACAGCTTTCAGGATTGACACTTAGTGTCCGAGTCTAAGAATGTCAGGCGTAGGAAATATACAGAGGCAAAGTAGTCTCTAATTTGTCTCAGTATATCTCTTGACTGGGTCGGAACTTCACTGAAATCCCAACACAGTCAAAATGAGTATTTCAGAAAGGTTCTATCTTTATGAAATACTCATATTTTGGGGGGGGGAGAGATGGTGCCGCTCTAAGTTTTTTATTGGACTGAAAACGGTATAACAATTGCTTATTTAAAGCAGCTGGTGACTCAGCATGCAGAACAAGTTCTGAGCTAATATATGCGATCATCCCCACGTCAGCTCATCATGCTGATGACCATCGATGAGTCTTATTGCTAATCATTTTTGCAAGCAGTCCCACTGTAAGTGCTCC